GTGACATTGTAGGGAATGACGAGGTTCGGGTGGGAAGGGAGATTTTTTTTCCTCTTTTGTTTCTGTTGCCGTCGACATTGTCGCTGGCGCGCGGTGGACGCGGTAAGTGTGGGTAGGGGGGCTTTGCATAACGAGCTTCTCTTTGAAGTCTTGCCTCGGAACAATCGAGGGGAAAGATACAATTCGCATCCTTGGATAATCCCTGTAGCGCCTGCATCCAAGACAGCAGTTCGAGGAGAAAGCGCGTTTCATTTTGTTGATTTATCGACGCGTTGTCCCTTAACCGGAAAGAGGGGAGGGGGAGGGGAGGGGGGAAGCGGGTGTCCACGAGGAGACGACCCACCAACACCGGCGCTGGCCACGCCACGAAGGAATTCAGCACGGACCTGTTATTATATCAAGACTTCCACATTTGCAGCACGTCTCTGGATTCATGTAGATAGGTGGACCCAAGACGGTCGACGAGGATACAGGGCGGGAGGAAGAATCGAAAAACGGCGCCACAACTACTTTGCAGAGCTCCCCCGGAGACTTGATGAGACACGTGGCACCTGACGTCTGATAAGTCCCTGTAAAGAAGGGCTTAAAGATGAGAAATATGATAGGAGTCAAGGGCGTGCAACGTGCGACGCAAGAAGGAAAGCCAAGCTGGCTTGTGGAGGTGTCAGAAGCCAGTGGGTGGGCGCGGGAGGATAGTCGCATCTTACAAAACCAGACGCCGGCCCCTAGCACCCTGACGCACACCACATGACCACACAAGGTCCTACTAAATACATCGTGTCCCGATGTGGAGCCAGGGGCCCTGGACCACAGGGACCTGTGCGAGGCTCACGCGGCCCCTGACGCCGCGCTCGACCAAGGGAGGATGAGCGAGCACGCCGCCGAGCACTTCACGCATAAAAAACCCAAACATGCGAAAACCTCCAAGTCGAAGTTCTTCAGCGACGTCGATGAAGTTCGGCACTGGAAACTTTGGGCGACGTGAGGGTCAGGCTCCCACTTGTTCACCCACTCCCGTGTGCTTGTGTCCACTGAGCCTCTCTTTGGTCTTTTCTCGTCACAGTGATCAGACTTCGGCTGCTTTCCGAATTAATTCCTCTCCTTCGGCGGCCGTACTGCTGAACGCGCTCCCTCCCGACGAGGCCCGTGCATGCCCAGGAAGTGGACTGGATTGAACCTTGCGGTCAGTATGATGATGGCTTGCGTGGGTTCTCGTGTAGTGATGTCTTATGTTTTGCTCGTGGTGATCCTTTGTCTTGGTGTGACCGCTAGTTGACTGCCCAATCTCACTTCCCCCCTCCCTCGTAATTCCCCCCGGCAGTCCATCAGCCTTTTCTTCGTCACACTTTCAGCTTGCTTGCTTCAGGTCGTTTTCACCAGCAACATGTTCGGAGTCACAGTGAAAAACAGCGGTATGACAGGAACCGGAACTACCGCAGGTCCCACGAAACGCACACATTCCCCCATGGTTACCGGAACCTCGGTCCTGGGTGTGAAGTACAACGGTGGAGTCATGTTGGCGGCCGACACCTTGGCCTCGTACGGCTCCTTGGCGCGCTTCAAGGATGTCACTCGTCTGAATGCAGTAGGGGACTACACGATCCTGGGCGCGGGGGGAGAGTTCTCGGATTTCCAAGCCATACAGGAGATACTGGAGAAGATGGACCAGGAGGATAAAAATGCAGACGATGGGTTTTCGCACTCGCCAGCGGAGCTTTTCAACTACTTGCGGGCGATCTTCTATAGCAAGCGGAATAAGTTCAATCCGTTGTGGAATGAGGTAAGGGCCGCGGTTGCAGACAGACGGGTGGTTGCAGGTCTTCCGGCACGTCGTGACAAGAGCACGCATTAGGTTGTGTACACCCCATCGATGGTGTGAGGCCTATGCCTAGCACGTGCTTGATTGCGGCAGTGCGCACGGCCTTATCCCGCCTTGGGCACCCCCCCCAGCAAGTATGGCCTTGTCCACTGCCCCTCGTATGCGCTGTCCGCAGGCTGATGTCATTGGAACACGCTCAAACGCGGGATCCCCTTTCCCTTCCCCTCAGGTCCTGGTGGGCGGTTTCAAGGACGGGAAGGCCTTCCTCGGTCATTTGGACATGATCGGCACCGCCTTCTCGGACGAGGTGATGGCCACCGGCTTCGGGTCCTACCTGGCCTTGCCCATCATGCGGAAGCGGTGGCACGCGAACATGACAGAGGGGGAGGCGCGGGCCCTGTTGGAGGATTGCATGCGCGTCTTATTCTACCGGTGGGGGCCGCGGGAGGGAGGGAGGGAGGGAGGGAGGAAGGGAGAGGG